AGGTAGACCCACCCCCCTTGGATGAGCCAATTGAGATCTCTTCTGACTCCTCTGACTCACCTGAGGGGGGTGACGCCGTCGCCGACGACACGGCGACCACTCGCCACACTCCTCGCTTGGCGACCCCCCCGGGTTTCCCGCCACGGCCGTCTTCGCCGCCTCCGCAGCCTGCTGCTGTGGACTCTGGAGCTGAGACTACTGGAGCTGGGGCTGGGGGTGGTGAGTCTGGGGGTGCCCGCTCTCCTCGTCTGGCTACCCCCCCCCCGGGTTCCCACCTCTGCCGTCTTCGCCGCCTCTGCAGCCTACTGCTGTGGACACTGGAGCAGAGACTGAGGGTGCTGGGACTGAGGGTGCTGGGACAGAGGGTACTGAGCCTGAGGGTGCTGAGACTGAGGGTGCTGGGACTGAGGGTGCTGAGCCTGAGGGTCCTGGGACTGAGGGTACTGAGACTTTGGGTGCTGAGACTTCGGGTGCTGACTCTGGGGGTGCTGCGAGTCCTTCTGGAGGTCCTGGAGCTGGAGGTACTGGAGCTACTAGGCCTGGAGGTCCTACTGGAGGTACTAGAGGTACTACTGGTGCTGGAGGTACTGGAGCTGCTGCTGGTACTGGAGGTGCTGGAGCTGGAGGTACTAGAGGTGGTTCTGGAGCTGGAGGTGCTAGAGCTACCACTACTGGAGGTACTGGAGCTGGACAGCCACCGCAGCCTGCTCTACTTGAGACGCTCTCGCCGCAGGCGATTCGTGCGTGGGTCGTTCTGCAAGGCAGTCCTGGTGGTGGAGGGTACGGTACTGCTGGTGCTGGAGGCGTTGGAGCTGGAGGTACTGGAGGTGTTGGAGCTACTGGTCCCGGAGGTGCTCGTACTGGAGGTGCTGGAGCTGCCGGAGCAGGTGGTACTACTGGTGCTGGAGGTGCCGGAGGTGCTGCTGGAGCTGCTGGCACAGGAGGTACTGGAGGTGCTACTGGTGCTGGAGGCGCTGGAGCTGGAGCTGGAGGCACTGGAGGTGCTGGAGGTACTACTGGTGCTCGAGGTGCTGGCGCTGTCGGAGCTCGTGGTGCTGGAGGTGCTGGTGCTACTGGTGCTGGAGGTGTTGCTGGGGGTACTGGAGGAGCTGCTCGTGCTGGAGGTACGGGAGCTACTGGTGCTCTTCGCCACCTTCTCAGTCTTCCGCCAGGTGCTACTGGCTTCCCTGTGGCAGGTACTACTCCTCCGTTGCTGTGTCCGCCAGCGGACCAGTCACAGCCACCGCTGCTACCACACTCCCCACTGCCTGCTCCTGCTCCCTACACTGCGGTGTCAGAGTCCCTGACTGAGCGTCGAGAGCCTGAGACTCGTGCTTCCACCCCTGAGCGTCGAGAGCCTGAGTCTATCTTTGACCTTGAGCCTGAGCTTAGAGCTGCTGTCCGTGCTCGTGTTCCTCGTGTTCGTCGTCCGCGTGCTCCGGCTGTCCCCGGCACTCACGATATGACACTCCGTCCTTCCTCTGTTCCTCAGCGTGTTGTACTACCGTTACCTCCTGCGTCCTCTCTGCCTGACGTTGCTGACCCTCCGTCTGACCTTGCTCGTGCGTCCAGTCCGACTGTTACTCGCCTTCTTGCTACGGTTGTGACGGACCCTGCGCTCTCGTCTCCTGCTGCGTCTGCCCTAGTAGCTGAGCTCGTTGACTTTGCTGTTGTGTACCGCCTAGACTACCTTGCGAGTCTTGTCTCTGACCCTGTCCCTGCCTGTCCTCCGTCCGTCGGGGGTGAGACTGCTCTTGGCTGTACTGCCCTTGGCTGTGACGTTCTTGAGGACAGACAGGAGGAGCTGGAGTGCCTTGCTGCCGCTTCACCCCATCACGCGACCATGCTGCTTGCCCCTGAGGGAGACCCAAATGCACTTGACATCCCCACTCCGCGCTCCTACAGGGAGGCGATTTCGGGTGAGTACTCCTCTCAGTGGCAGACAGCCATGGACGCAGAGATGGCTTCCTAGAAGTCCACATGCACCTACGTCGACGAGGTTCCCCCACCTAACATCAGTCTGAATTGGGGGTGGGGGGGGGGGGTCCTACAACCGGAAACCAAAACTTTGAGACAGGGGAAGGCCTGGTTTGAGCCCTTAACGCATCCGGGGAAGGGTCGAAGGAGGCACTTAGTGGCACGGGTGCAGTGCGAATCTAACACTTTATGCAGGAGCTGGAGCGAAAGTAGCCCGGAATGTTCAGGCATTAAAGCCAGGGTCTCAAGTACTACAAGTGTTTTGCAGTTGATGGTGAAAGTTTGGCTATGATTGGTTAGCGAAGTAGAAGGTTTGAAGTGGGTTGAAGCGAGGGGTGCGAAGCAAACTCAAATCGCTGGGAGTACCCAAACCTTCTAGGCCTGGAAACTTGGCTCGGAGCCAAACCTAAAATGCACCCAACACATCGAAAGTACCCAAAAGTGTTGTGCAATTGCTTCTGGGCCAATGACGGGGTGTGTCGCAAGCTGATTTTTCAACCCAACCAGAGGGGACTTCGTCTGCAATAACTAGGTAACCTGGCTTCAAGTGCTTTGCAGTTGACGGCTCCTTAGCTTACGTGAGACCCTGGCTTTAAGGGCATATGCCCTTGAATCGAGAGGCCTGGCCCCGCTGTGCCACTCCCTCCAAGACTTGGTCCCTTGGAAGCGGCGGTGAATGAATCTGTACTGTTATGCACTGTGCAGTTGACTCGTCGTCCATTCTCACGTCGTCTGCTCTGCAGCAAATGAGCTCAGCTCTCGAAATTGGAATGGCTGCTTGATATGAGGGTTGGTTTGGTGACGGTTGAAGCGGGTAATGCTGCTTGACAAGTATCTTAGGGAGATCCAACGATGCCTGTCAATCACACCCGAAACGACGGATTTCGTTGATAGGTCTGCTCGATTCTATGTCGGCCGCCATTGGCTGAAGTTCGTACTCACCGCACGAGTGCGACCAAGGTGGAGGGCTGTTCTGTTCTCTGTTGCCGTCGCCTCTAGACGCAAACGTGCGGTTCCTAGCGTAGCTACTGTAACACAAATCCCCATTCCAGAACATTCGTTGTTCGTGACGCCCTCACTCTCGAAAGAGCATGACACGAGCTCTGAGCATGATTCAACCACAGACGGATCCTCCTTGGATGCGCCATGAGATATTTTTGTTCAGCCATCTTTTCATTGATGAGCCGTCTATGCAGCGGTACAAACATAGCGAGCACGCGGTACTGGTCCGTTTGTTTCAGCGCCATTTCATCATGAGCACTCCTTTCTGAAAACGTCGCTCACCCGGCTCCCTATTGAGGTGCCAAGCTTACACCATTCTTTCCCGTTCGCCGTAATCGGACAGACCCCCCCCCCCCCCCCCCCCCCCCCCCCCCCCCCCCCAGTCTACCCGACACCCCCTTAGGAAAATGGCTTCAAGCCTCCCCGAGTCGCTGGCGGGAAGTCCCCTCGCGTTCCCCGTACTCTCCCCGCTCGGAGTTCCCCCGCCCCCGCCGTTTGTGCGCGAAGAGGGGGAAGACGAGCTGTCGGACTACCAGGAGGCGCTGCTGCCGCGCGCTTCGCAAGCAGCAGCGGCGACGCCGGCGGGGATAACGGCGGAGGGAGGGAGTGGCGCGGCGGCAGGGGCCGCCGCTGCGGCGGCGGCGGGGGCAAAAGCGCTTCCCTTCTGCATCGCGATCGCAATCGTTCTGTTTGTCGTTGTGATTCTCGGGGTCATCACGTTCGCGGCTCGGTACTACGGGCGGATTCACCTGCGCCGAGCTCGCCGCGGGATGAACGACGTGGATTCTGCGGCGACCGCCGGCGCAAATGGTTCGCAAGCGTCTGGCGGCGGGGGGCTGGACGCGGAGCGAATCGCGAAGTTTCCCACATGGCGTTACTGCATTTGCCCCGCTGCTGCGGAGGATGTTTTCGCCAACAAGGGAGATGGTGATAAGGAAATTGCTATAATGGCTGACGCTGAGAAATTGTTACGGGAATCAGACTCTCAAGAGACAAAGTTTTTGAAACGGAGAAGTTTGTTGACGAGCACTGAGTGTACAGTGTGCCTGAGTGACTTTAACGAGGGCGAGCTGGTTCGGTCCGTGCTGCCGTGCGAGCATCGGTTCCACGTGGCGTGCATCGATTATTGGCTCGCCACCAAGACCACGTGCCCCGTGTGCCGAACGGACCTCAAATCGCTGGCGCCGCATGCGGGTGAAGGCGACTCGGATGTGGCAGTGAAGGTGGAGAGAGGGGACGACGCTGGCTGAAGCCGTTTCTATTCCCATTGGAAAACCACCTTTCCGCGATATGAAACGGGATCACCGGGAGCGAGGTCGCGCGTGTGCGCGTGTGCTTACACCTTAGTGTTATTTTTTCCGTCTCCATAGATCCGTCACGCGGTGGCGATTCGGGAGTGGTTATTAGAGAGTAGGGGTCAACATTGGTGTTGAACGGCATCGAGACAGCGACGCGGGGCGGACGGACACTAGAAAGTGGGCTCGGCGGTGTAAACCACTCGAGCGTCTGCTTATGTATTCTCTGAGGAGCCTTGAGGAACGCTGGCGCAGCCATGGCCTGAGAATGGAGCTTAGTGATCTGGTGGTGTGGAGCGTATTGGGAGCTTGCTCTTCCGCCTAAAGAATGGATCTGATCTGAGTGCTCTGGCAGTGCAGAGCAGATAGCACTGGAAGGGACTGGCGCCTGGGGAATGTGAACTTCGATGTCCTGAGATTGCGCTATAAAAGTGCTCCGTTTTGTTGCGTTGCGGGCCTTTTGTTTTTTTGCAAATGTTATGTTGTTTCTATTCTTAGCCCATTCAGAAGGTCATGGTACCGTATGATAGCTTCCACCAGTGAAGCTGGTCCCCCACAGTTGCAGATCTTGGAATCTTTCATAAAAGGCAGGATAAATAATAATGTAATGTTGTCCTGCTTGAGTACATAGCTAAAGTGCCACAACACAAAACGCTAGGGCAGGGAAACTGGTACGTGTCTCCTATCCCCTTCCAAGTGTCTCACTTTAAAGGGACGCGGATAAAACTACTCATTTTTCAGACCTGTCTTCTCTGCCCGTAGTTTCTGCAAGCATAGCAGTGGCAGGAAATCAGACCAGGCAGTACCAGTGAGCAACAATAAACCCGAGAACCGAAGGACGAAGGGAAAACCCAGAGATGGCACGACACGCTGGTAGCCATACAGATGGAGAAAAACTCCCTATCAAATGACCAACCATTCAATCATCACACCATACCAAAGCAACCAATCCGCGTTCCTAGGGTTGGGATGATGAAAAGAGCAAGCATTGTTCGGATGAAGCCTCTCCGAAGTCAACCCAGCCTTCCCTGACCCCCGGAACAAGTAAATCCCCCCCACAGAACGGCTTACCTTCATCTTGTCCTCGGCTGCTACCTTGGCATAGTAGCCCTGTAATCATGGCACACAGGGGGTGAGCAAGGGAGAGGCAAGAGGAGAGAGGAGAATGAGTTTTGAAACGCCTCAAGAATCCACCAGTAAATTTCTCACCTTCATCTTGCCCTCTGCTGCTACCTTGACGTAGTAGCCCTGTTGGCATGTCAAGGCACACAGGGGGTGGGGGTGCACAGGGTACAGGAGAGAGGAGAGAAGAGGATGGAGCCACGGCAGTGAGTTTTGAGTCGCCTCAGAGCTTCCCCAGTGAGCGGCGCACCATCTTCTCCTCCGTAGCCACCTTGGCATAGTTTCCCTGCAGGCACGGCGCAGAGGGTGAGAGAGGCATGCGGGAGAGGAGAGAGGAGAGAGGAGAGGGGAGAGTAGGCCTTGAGTCGCCTCAGGACTCCCCCAGTGACATTCTCACATTCAACTTGTCCTCGGCTGCTACCTTAGCGTGGTAGCCCTGTTGGTAGGCATGGCACACAGGGGTTGAGGCAAGGGGAGAGGAGAGAGAAGAGTGAGTTCTGAAACGCCGCATGACTCCCCGAGTGCAAGGCTCACCTTTATCTTCTCCTCGGCTATCACCTTCGCATAATATCCCTGTTGGCATGGCACGCAGGGAGTAAGGGAGGGGACGGGGAGAGAACAGCGAGTTTTGAGATGCCTCAGAACTCCACCAGTGAACGGCTCACCTTCATCTTCTCCTCAACTGCCACGGGGAGAGGAGAGGGGAGAGAGGAGAGACGAGACAGGAATTAGGAGAAAGGAGAAAGGAAGGAAAATTGAGACGACGCAGAGCTCTCCCAGTGAAAGGCTCACCGTCAACTTCTCCTCAACTGCCACGGGGAGAGGAGACGGGAGAGAGGAGAAACGAGACAGGAAGGAGGAGAAAGGAGAGGGGAGTGAATACTGAGACGCCTCAGATCTCCCCCAGTGAGCAGCTCGCCTTCATATTCTTCTCAACTTCCGCATTAGCATAGCAGCGCTGCAGGGCACAGCACACAGGGGGTGAGTGAACGGGGCACGGGAGGAGGAGAGTGAGTTATACGACATCTCATAACTCGCCCATTGGTTGGCGGTACACTGGTTTCTCAGCAGCCAGCTTGCATGTGGTGCTTGCATGTGGTGCTTGCATGTGGTGCTTGCATGTGGTGCTCGTATGTGCATGCCCAATCGAATTACCATGCACCTCCAACTGAAAGCACTCAGTTCCAACTGCAAATGGTTCCTGCTCATGAGCGCTTCAAGCGGCCATCTCACCTTATAAGTGTCTTCATGATGTAAGATGGTTCCATCTCACCTTATCAGTGCCGTACAGCCAGTCACAGATGGTGAAGATGGAGGCGAAGTTGCAGTGGCTCTCACCCCCCACCCCGTGACTTTGAGTCCACTCAAAAGCCACCTTCCATCTCACCCTCTCGCTGCTTTCATGTGTGCATCTCACCTTATCAGTGCCTTCATAATGTATTCCATCTCACCTTCTCAATGATTCAAGCGTGCCTCTCACCTTATCAGTGCCGTACAGCCAGTCACAGATGGTGAAGATGGAGGCGAAGTTGCAGTGGCTCTCGCCCCCCACCTCATGGTGGTAATCATGGAAGCGAGGGCCCCCGTAGAACGGGATCAGGCGGGTCGGCGACCAGGGGAAGTCGTACCTGCGAGTGGTACAGGAAAGGTGTGAGGGGTAGGGGGGACATTTGAGGGGTTTCAAAAGGCAATCCTCGTGGTGGTAATCGTGGAAGCGAGGTCCCCCGTAGAACGGGATGAGGCGCGTTGGCGACCAGGGGAAGTCGTACCTGCGAGTGGTACAGGAAAGGTGTGAGGGGTAGGGGGGACATTTGAGGGGTTTCAAAAGGCAATCCTCGTGGTGGTAATCGTGGAAGCGAGGTCCCCCGTAGAACGGGATGAGGCACGTTGGCGACCAGGGGAAGTCGTACCTGCGAGTGGTACAGGAAAGGTGTGAGGGGTAGGGGGGACATTTGAGGGGTTTCAAAAGGCAATCCTCGTGGTGGTAATCATGGAAGCGAGGTCCCCCGTAGAACGGGATGAGGCGCGTTGGCAACCAGGGGAAGTCGTACCTGCGAGTGGTACAAGTGGGGGGGGGAGGGGAGAAGGAAGGAGTTTTGAGAGCTTTGTAAAGGCAATCCTCGTGGTGGCAGTCATTGAAGCGAGGTCCCCCGTAGAACGGGATCAGGCGCGTTGGCGACCAGGGGAAGTCGTACCTGCGAGTGATACAGGCAGGGAAGGGGGATGGAAGGAATGGTCGAAGGCGAGGGGTGCGAGGGAATCGGGGGGTTGAGAGGGAGCTGTTTGGAACATAGCTGCGAGCGCCCGCTTTTGACGAAATCTTGCGCGTTTGGGAATTTTCAGAAGTCACTCTACTCTAACACACACAGCTGTGAGGAACATAGCTGCGAGCGCCCGCTTTGAACGAAATCAGGCGCATCGGCGACCAAGGGAAGACGTAACTGCGAGTTTCACAGGGAGGGTCGAAGGGAGGAAAAGAGAGGCGGGGAGCGGGGGTGTGGAGGGGTGTTGGAGAGTATAACTGTGAGGGACACAGCTGTGCACAACCCCGTAAGAAGGGATGAGACATGCTGGCGTGGCGACCAGGGGAAGGCTTTCCTGCGAGTGATGTAGGCAGAGGGAAGCGGAGGGAAGTGCGTTCACGGGTGAACGGTGGGGAGTGGAGGGGGAAGAAAGGAGCGGCGACAATAGGAAGTGGTACCTGCGAGTGACATGGGCAGGGAGGGGCAGCAAAAGGGGCTTTAAGAGGTGAAAGGAACACAGTTCTAGGCAGTGCATAGTGCACCGTCAACCACCGTTGAGCGGGAGGAAAGTCAGGTAAGTCATGTTACCATTATACAGTCGTTAGCAGCACTTACAGCAGGGATACCCATCCTGCTAAGAGCTTCAAGGTTCCCCCATTCTGCTTCCATTCCCTTCACCTGCCTGAGCGCATCACAATCGCTTCCAGCTGCTGTAGCAGCATCCACCACACCCACCAATTCACCACGCCACGAGAGCAGTAAAGCAACCTCCCCACATGCCACGCGTATTCCTAACCTGTGAATAGCGCACCAAGGCAACCTCCCCTCATGCCACCCCCTATCCCCAACATGCGTGCCCACAAGCAGCCCTCCCCCCTTCCCCCTTTCCACCCCTTATCCCCACACAACCCACCCCCTCCCCCCTTCCATCCCCCTCTCCCCCCCCTGCCCACCCAATCCCTCTGCCCCTCGCTTGCTCACCCTGAGTGCGTCTCAATCGCCTCCAGCTGTCGCAGCAGAATCCACACCCAGAGCGTGACCACGTGGCACTGCACGATCGCAGGCCCCACGAGCGAGGGCACGCCCAGCAGCAGCACCTCCCCCCAACCCCCTCCCCCTCTCCACCTTCCCCCCGCTTGCTCACCCTGAGTGCGTCTCGATCGCCTCCAGCTGTCGCAGCAGAATCCACACCCAGAGAGTGACCACGTGGCACTGCACCATCGCAGGCCCCACGAGAGTGGGCACGCCCAGCAGCAGCACCTCGATCCAGTGCGCGTACGTGGCAGCGGCGCCCATGGGTGACGTGTACTCGTGGTGCTTGTAGTGAATGTGCTTGTAGAGGAGGGGGTGGTGGAAGAGGCGGTGGATCCAGTAGTTGCCGTAGTCTTCTATGAGAAGGAAGACGAGCAGCTGCAGCGCTAGAGTGGAGAGCGTGGGGAGCGGCAGCGACGCCGTGATTCCCGCTACCTGGTCGCACAGGGAAGGGGCGAAGAGGGAGAGGAGATAGGGAATGGGGAGAACGGATAGGGGAGGGGGTGAGGAGAGGGGGTGGGAGAGGGAGTGAGAGGAGGGGTGAGGGATGCGTTTGGTAATGTAGGGGGAAGAAGAGGCGGTGGATCCAGTAGTTGCCGTAGTCTTCTATGAGAAGGAAGACGAGCAGCTGCAGCGCCATGGTGGAGAGCGTGGGGAGCAGCAGCGACGCCGTGATGCCCGCTACCTGGTCGCACAGGGAAGGGGCGAAGAAAGGAGGGAGGAAGGGGATTGGGGGGGGATAAGGGGGGAAGACGGGGGAAGGGATGGGGAAGGGGATGGGGGAAGGGTTGGGAGTGGGGGTGAGAGAGGGAGTAGGGAAGGCGTTTGGTACTGTAGGAGGAAGAGGAGTCGTACCGGGATGGGAGGGGAAGGTCGAATTGGGAGGGGAGGGAATCGGGGAGGGGATGGGGGAGGGGAGAGCCGTATGAGCTTAAGGGCATGGCGGAGGGGGTTGGTTGGGGGAATGAGCCTGTGTTGCGCGTCATTGGACCAAGGCGGGTCCGGGGTAAGGGGGCGCTTGAGGGGTGAATCAGCTATGGGGACGGAGAAAATCAGTTGGCGCACAGTGGAAGAAGGATGTGATTGGCGGTGAGGCGGCAGCGTGAGAGTGACGCTACGAAAGCAGCTGAGAGAACGAGGACAGGTACCTTGAAGAAAGGATACGAAATGAGCTGAAGGGGACCGCACCTTGAAGAAAGGATAGGAGAGCAGCTGAAGGGGGAGGATCGTCGTCACCATCACACCGATCACGTCTCTGTAGCACTTCCACGTGTCGGCCAGCGAGTGGGCCATGGCGGGCTGCAGGCGGTACTGCTCGAAAAAGGGCAGGCGGAGGTAGTCTAATATCGCGTACGGCAGGCACGCGACCGTGTAGAGAATAACGAGCAGCACGACGGTGCAGCAGTACAGCTGGTAGTCCGCCACGCCGCGCGTCGCCTCCAGCCACACCGCCTCTGGTGGCGTTAGCGGCCGGCCCAGCATCTGCGCCGCCTCTGCTGCTGTCATGTTCAACATCGCTACGACCGGATCGGCGTGCGAAATAATAATAGTCTGCACTGAGACGAGGAGAAACAGCAGAGCTTCTAGTAACTCGATCTATACCACTGTATTTAATCAATGTACACTGTAAGGACGCGAGTGGAGGAAGAGCAGGACCGATCGCCCTCAAGATCGCTCCTAAACGGGGTTGAAATGGTTGTTTTACGGTGCAAAATAGTTATGCGTGGATACAGTGCGGTGGCGAATTAAACTTGGCCCGTCGATTATCGATATTGCCTGCCCGCATTCTAAGTAGAAATCTCAGGATACTGGTCGCCTGACTCCTACTACTGACCTCGACTGGACTGGGAATGATAGTTGGACTCTGGACGGTTTTTGAAATCGAGACGAGATAGCCTTCGGATTTTAGTACCTTCTCTCTTCGCTCAAGCTGTCCCTCTCGAGTTGGAATGCCAGTTTTCATGGCGGCGAGGGAGGAGAAGGGGAGCGACAAATCCGACAGAGAACGAGACCCAACTTGTGCGACAGTGTTGGCGACACAGACGATGGTCAACAAGAGTGGTGTGGTGTAGTGGTTTTGTGTGTTTTGGTATGTTCTAGTGTGTTGTCATGTGGTGTGGTGGTGTGCGAGAGAGACGATCACGCAGACTCATGAATCAGGAACAATCATTGCCGTGCCCTCGCATATCGCAAATCTCAAGGGTGTGCTGTCACGGCGGTGGGGCAGGGAGTGGTTTAAAGGTTTTTATAAGGTCGTGACCTTTTTACAAACATGCAGCTAGAGAAGGATACAAGCAAAGCCTAGCTCCCCGTAGGGAGCACGTGTGAACACGTTATCCTTCTGCTACTGGAGCAGAGGTGTCCCAGGACAAATCTCTAGCCGACATGTGGAAAGCGCTGGAGCCAGAATTCAGGGTGGGTGAAACACATCGTTGAGAAGCCAGGTGTCGCGTAGCTCGGGGTGGATGACTGGGCGGCTGGGTTCTGGGAACAAGAAGAAACGATGGGATTGTGCCAGCTTGGCTATCTTGGTGGCCTTGTGTCTCTTCTTCTTGGAGCCGTTAGAGAGTTTCCACATGAGAATCTTATAGGCGAGGAGGAAGTAGTATAGAACTTGAAAGAGCGCGTCCCCAGTTTTGGTCACCGTCTGTCTATATCGAAAGCTGCACCGCGCGTTCCAAATTGTTTTCGCCGCGGCACCAACAAGTAAGCTCCACGGGGCTCCTTGACCAGCCGATGTCGCGAGCGGGAATAAAGTGAGCTCAGGGGAGGTATTCACTCCTAAGTGGGACTGGGCGGTACGCTGAAGCGCTTCGATGACTGGCCTTGCCACTCCACATTCGAACAGTAGGTGAGGAAGAGTTTCTAGATGGCCACTGTTACATCCTGCGCAGACGCCTTTGTCGCGCGCAAAGCTGAATCTGGACCCAGAGGGAAGAGCCAGCGCATAGAGTCGGAAAAGTACATCCCGTTGAGACGACGGTTGCTCGGAGAGGAAGGCGTGTTTGAGGTTCGGGAAGAGAGGAGGGCCAGGGTCAGGTAGTAGTAACCTACCCAGGTCAGGGTTAGGTCATCTGTGGGGGTGCGTCAGGTCTTGTTGAACGTAGGAGAGGTCACGTATGGCGGCTAACGACGGAATGCCATCAGAGAGAAGAGGAAATCGGGCAGCCAGCCCAGCTCCTGAGCAAAAGGAGCCCCCAAGCCATCTGTTAAAGACGTGTATCGGCACCGTCTTTGATGTCGAGAGGAGCCGACGCGCCACAGCTTCTTTCCCGATCCGACCTGTTTCATCAACCTCGTACATGTTAGCGTAGAACATGTTGTCCGATGGGGAATCTTCCACTTCAAACACATTCCTGGGCGGGGAGAACATCTCCTCGGCAAGCAGAACCCAGTCACCTGGATACAGGTGAACGAGGGAATGAGACGACGCCAGAGCAGCCCACCATTCCTTGGGCATGGCATCGTAAATCTCCTTGAGGATCCTGCGGCTGCAAGGGTATTTCCGGGGGGGGTATTGTGCCATTATTTCGGGGTCAGTAAGCCGACGAGCTCTCGTAGCATCCCGGCGGACTATGTGACCAACCCGGACTTCCTCAGTGATTAAGAAAACTTCGTCTTGTAAACGTCCAAAAGGACGGCCGCCGGGGTTGTTAAGGAGCCTGTTAAAGGGAACCGGCTCAGCGAGAATGCACCATAATTCCAAGCGGGGGGGGGTGACCTCAAGTTGCAGTTCCAAAAGACACTTGACTTCTTCCCGAAGCCGGGAGGGGGAGGAGGGAGGAAGGGCAGAAACGAAATCGGAGTGCATGAGAAAGCCATGCAGACCAAATTGAATGGGCACGCACGTTCTGGCCACCGCAGCGCTCGGGTGGGGGGAGAATCTGCGAAGAGCACGCTGAATGTTCAGTGCTTTGATTTGTGCAGAGGGGCGAATTGCCCCCAACCCCCCGTGTTCTACCTTATTGTAGAGGACCGTGTGCGTGAGGAGGCGCGTAGTGCGGCCCGCCGACTTGAACTTAGAAGCGGATAAGAAATTGCCTACCGTGTCGTCCAGAGCTCTGGTAGTGGGCGAAGGGGGAGGTTGGAAGCGGCCTGGGAAGGAGAGGGCGGAGTTAAGATTCTCCGAGGACAACTGTTTCCTGCACGTCGAAGTGGCATGGAGATTGGATAGGAGATTGGCAGATTTTTTAATTTTGGACAGGGTGAGGTTCCAGGTGGTATCTGTGAGGCCAGAGCTGCCCACGAATATACCGAGAATCCTCTCGAACTCCGACGGAAGACGAATTGGGATATCACCTGCGCGGGTAATGTCAGAATGGGCGAAATTGAAGGGGATGAGGGAACATTTGGCCCAATTGGGGTGTTCTCCCGAGACCGAGGCGAAGGACAGCAGGGCGTGGGAAGCTGCACGGAGCTCATCGTCCGAATTAAGGAAAATCGTGACGTCGTCTGCGTAGCAAGCCATCAAGCGGCGTTGGGTGCGGGAAATGGGGAAGCCAGGCAAGAAGCAAGAGGTGTAACGGTGAAAGACTTCAATAACGCAAAGGAAGAGCAATGGAGCCAGCGGGCATCCCTGCCTGACACCGGTCTTGACAGGAATGGGGGGACCACAGAAGTTATTTACTGAGATCCGGGTAGTCGTGCCTGAGTGCATCATCTTAACCCAATGGATAAAAGGAGCAGGAAGCCCAAGGTGAGAAAGACAGGTGTAAAGGAAAGATCGATCGACCATATCGTACACCTTACGAATATCAACTGTGAGGGCAAGCAGGGGGAGTGATTTTGCCGTAGCCCAGTCGAATATGTCCAGGGTGTCGTTAAGCGTATCCCCGATTTTCCGTGACTTGATGAATGCAGTCTGTGAGTGATTGATGAGGGAGGGCAGGAGGGGTTGCAACCGATTAGCCAGGCAGATCGCCAGAACCTTATAATCCGTATTCATAAGAGTGATGGGTCTTAAGTTGTCAACCAAGGTGGCGTCACTTTTCTTAGGGATAAGAACAGTCCGTCCCTGCAGCATGGATTGTGGGAGAGAAACTTGGGATCCCAGGAACAGAGAGTGGAGAGCAGGAGTGAAACAAGTGCGGTAAGAACGAAAGAGCTCTCCGGAAAGGCCATCCGGCCCCGGGGTTTTCCCCTTGGGAAGAGCGACAATAGCCTTCGAGATCTCAACAAGGGAGAAGGGGAGAGAAAGGCGGGAGAAAGATTCAGGAGAGATCTGAGAGGGGGGGATCATATTCCAGAAGGAAGGATCGGGGAAAATGCGTTGGGAACCGCTATACAGTTGCTGAAAGAAGGCGGTGCACAGGGAGGACATACCAGGAAGGTCAGAGACGGGGAGCCGGAGGGGGAATGCAATGAGGAGATCAGGGATGCTTTGATTCTGCTATTGACTCCGACGAGCAGGGAGGAGACCCCCATCTCCCGCGGGCCTTCAACCTTGAGCTTCGCTTTCATAGCAAGCTCCGCTGACCGACTAGCTTCGTATCGCTCAAATTGTAACGATGCTGTGCGAAGCCGTTCCTGTCAGAGGTCCACTGGTGATCCCCGATTGATCCTAGGAAAGGGTTACAGGCATGTTGGCCTGGGGGGTTATGGGCGCACTGACCCGCTACTTAACAAGCCCTTTTATCCCAATGGTCTAGTGGTTGGGATTCTGACATGGTATCAGAGCGAAGGTCTCGGGTTCGAATCCCAGTGTGTGCACTTCGGGCATCCCAGTGCGGGGGGGTGTCAGAGGTCCACTGGTGATCCCCGATTGATCCTAGGAAAGGGTTACAGGCATGTTGGCCTGGGGGGTTATGGGCGCACTGACCCGCTACTTAACAAGCCCTTTTATCCCAATGGTCTAGTGGTTGGGATTCTGACAGTTCCTTGGCCACTAGGTCAGTAGGGTTGACTGCAAGGTGGATACGAAGTTGGGATGTAAGAGTCTGCAAATGGGAGGTGGTTTTCCTGACACGGATCTTTTCCTGACTGGCGAAAGCCTTGATACGATTGCAAAGGGAACTTTTCCAATGGTCCCAATCAGGGGCGGTGATAATAGAGGGGAGAGAACGGCATGCCGAGCTGACTATGTGTTCCAACTGCGGACGTTTTAAAATGGCCAGAGGAACGCGCCAGGGCCGGGGGGCTATATTAGGGCTGTCGCACTGGAAAGAGCACGAAGGGGCGAGATCGTGGTCGGATACATCCTTAGAGACTGAAAAATAAGCAGCATCTAGGAGCCGGGACGCGAGGGAATCAGATAAGTAGATACGATCAAGCCGGGAGGCGGTGGGAGCCGAATCCTCGTCTTGATCACTTCGCGGAATGGCAAAGAAGGAGAACATGGTGGCAGTAGGAATTTTTTTCCGGAAGGTATCAGTAAGACCATGGTTGGAGAGAATGGTGGACAGAATGTTGCCTTCAGAGACTTCGTGGCTGAGGAGAGGGCGATTCCGATCCTCAGGAGCACAAACCGCATTAAAATCTCCTGC